GCATAACTGAGTGTGGATTCTGTCAGTCCACCATTACCCACCCGGCCTTGCTGCTGATATGCCAAACTTCACCCCAGTATCACTCTGTCTTGCACAGGAGGGTCTCTATTTTCATCAGTGGAATGTCTGGTTCTAGTATCCTAGAACTTCTCCTGATCATGGGGTAGCTAGGAATGAGTGGGTTTCTTGTGGGTGGAGAAGGAAGCAGGATCACATTCCACCAGAAGAGAGAAGAGAGACTGAACAGTTGTGAAGGAGCATCTCCACTCCCCATCGTTCAGCCCGGACACTGAGGTCCAGCTCCAAGGGCCTTCTGGTGGTTCCCTCACTGCGAGAAGTGAGGTTACAGGGAACAAGGCAGAGGGCCTTCTCGGTAGTGGCACCCGCCCTGTGGGACACCTTCCCTTCATATATCAAGGAAATAATCAACTATCTGACTTTGAGAAGACATCTGAAGGCAGCCCTGTTTAGGGAAGTTTTTAATGTTTGATGTTTTATCGTGTTTTTAATATTCTGTTGGGAGCCACCCAGAGTGGCTGGGGAAACCCAACCAGATGGATGGGGTATGTATAAATAAATAAATAAGGATGCTGTAAGCAGAGAAAACTGTTCTCTCTCCTCTTTTCCAAGTCTGCTGGCCAATCAGAACAGTAGAGGGCCAGACCAGCAAAGAGACACTCAGGAGGCCATGATAATGTCTAATCTGGCACAGAGGGGTATGGAGAGCCCAGAAGATTTCCATAAGTGTGCTACAGCAACAGAACAAACTTAAAAACAACAGAGAGATGGAAAGCCGCAAGCTCTTTCAAAATCACGTATCGACAACTTACTCCGAAGGAGGTATAGAAAGGGTTTCAGGAACCTAAGCGCGTATTCCAGTTCAGGCTTGTGAATCCTGCCAAGCTGAATCAAATGCTGCTCCACGGGTCGACTTGCCAGCTCCTCAAGTTCTGTGCCATTGTACTTAGGTCCCAAGGAGAGTACCAACAGGGCGTAACCTTGGCACTTGGCTCTCAGAGACGCTTTCTTCAACACTTCTTTATCCCAACGACTCGTTTCCCCAGCGGATACAATGATGAGAGCCTTGTGTTTCCTCGGGTTGGGAGATGCTGAGAAAACGTTGTTGATCGTCCACTGGATGGCATGGCCAAGGGCAGCTTCTCCACCCAGCTGTCGAAGGGATTCCCAGATATGTCTTTTCATTGACTGCGTCTTGCCGTAAGTCACCAAGTCGAACTCTTTTTTTGCTGGCGGTTGCTGTGTCCGGGGCTTGAAAGCTGGCGCAGCGTGGCTCACCACAGCCACCCTGTCACCCACAGAAGAAACCGCGGGCTCAGAGGAGACCTCAAAGGCGTCGAGTGCGCTGCTTAAGAATCCTTTCAGTTTCTCAAATTCGCCAGGATGCATTGCCTGTGAGGTATCCAAAATGAAAGCCGTGTCCACGTACCCCCAAGGCTGGAGAGATCTTCTGGTACGTTTGCAGGCATCATTGGGTTTGCATTTATCTGGAAACGAACACATGTTTCAGACATCGGTTTACAAACTGCACAATGTGGGATGAGATACATAAGCAGCAGTCAAGTACAATATTCCTTGTTTTCCTAGAGTGGACATGTGAGGGAATGTTTGGTCCAGCCAGTCGAAAACTTCCTGTTTCCTCCTGGCTGGGACATACCGTATTTTTCGCTCTACAAGATGCACATTTTCTCCTCCAAAAATGAAGGGGAAATGTGTGTGCGTCTTATGGAGCGAATGCAGGCTCCTTGGCTTCAGCGATAGCAACGCGAAGCCTCCGAAGCGCGGTGGGAGCGCTCCTGCCACGCTCTGGAGGCTTAGCGTTGCTTTTGATGAAGCCTGGAGAGTGAGAGGGGTCGGTGCGCCTGAGGCCTCCGGAGCGCGGTGGGAGCTCCCGCTGCACTTCAGAGGCTTCGGGTTGCCTTCACTGAAGGGTAGGTGCCCCTTCAGCTAAGGCGCAGTGACCCTTCAGCTAAGCGGGAGGAGAAATGGAAGGGGCTCCATTTCTCCTGCTGCTTCGCTGAAGGGGCGCTGCACGGAGAGGGGAGATTTTTTTTTTCTTGGTCTCTCCCTCTAAAACAAGGTGCGTCCTATGGTCAAGTGCATCCTATAGAGCGAAAAATACGGTACTTTCTTTGCATGTGACTAGAGGTGGGCGTGACCTTACCTGTTCAGGTAACAAAAGGACAAGGCACGCAGTTCTCTCTCTCTCTCTCTCTCTCTCTCTCTCTCTCCCCCCTTCTACATTGGACCAGCTTTTTAGCTTGAGATGCTCTGTTGGTTTTTCAGCCAACAGTAGACACTGGGATCATTCTTTCACATGGGGTAGAACCACATGCATATACTTCGTAACTAAGTCTGCCTTCAGGGATCCAACTGTGAACTGATGATGTGAGTAAACTTCTTTTATGATCTTTTAATAAATTGTCGTGTGATTATTCTTTTAAGAGGGATATAAGGGAACTTACCAGGAACCTAATAGTGAGAGGCTTACACAAGCCTGCAGCCAGCTACCCGCTGTGTGTTTAAAAGGGGAATGTGAAACTCTGCTAAGTAAAGGAACTTGCTAGCGCAAGTTAGGAAGGATATTAATAAACAATATATCCTCTGCTGCCTCCCTGAACATTCCCACACACAAGGGGGTAGGTTGCCTCTTGGAAACTAATGGAACGCTCCAAGAAAAAGAAAAGAATTCTCCTCAGGATTGAATTGGTTCACAGCCTCCATTGGGGAAGTGCTGAGGAGATTGAGTTACGTTCCTTTCTAGTGCTTAGAATCATAGAATCATAGAATCATAGAGTTGGAAGAGACCACAAGGGCCATCGAGTCCAACCCCCTGCCAAGCAGGAAACACCATCAGAGCACTCCTGACATATGGTTGTCAAGCCTCTGCTTAAAGACCTCCAAGCTGGACTCAGAGTTGTTGAGATATCTATATACATATTTAGATAAATATTCATATAAATTATAAAACGTCAGGGTTGGGTGGCGTACAAAATTCGCAGAAAGCGTAACATCCCATAAAAATGGTACAGAATACTCATAAAAATGACCATTGTGACCATTCCTGCATTCTATCAACACTGGGAACTTTGATTATCTAAAGTCTCCCATGTACTCCTATACTCATTATTGATGGTTTGAGAGTCACATTTCCAAATATCGAGACAATTCTTTCCTTATTTTAACATTACCCGTGTCAAATGCAACAGGTGAAAGCTCGTTCAACACCCTTAAACGAGTACAAAATTTACATCTCTACTATACAGTGGAACCTCGGGTTAAGTACTTAATTCGTTCCGGAGGTCCGTACGTAACCTGAAACTGTTCTTAACCTGAAGCACTTTAGCTAATGGGGCCTCCTGCTGCCGCCGCACCGCCAGAGCACGATTTCTGTTCTCTTTTCTCTCTCTTTTTTTTTTAATAATATTTATTGCTTTTAAAAGTTACAAAAAAGTAGAAAAAAGAGGGGAAAAACCAAAAAGAAAAAAAGAAAGAGAAAAACAATACAATATATAAACAATACAAGCCCACCCTAAACCCATTGAACTAAACACATGAACAAAGCAAGACAAAAACAATTTAAAAACATCCCTCCTTTTCCATACTCTGTCCTTCATTCCCTTGTTTCCTCGACTTCCTCACACCTCCCTTCTTGTATCCCACTTCTAGTACTTGTTTCAGCAAATCCTTTCCATCTTTCTCTATTTTCTGTCATATTATGAATAACAAATTCTTTAACCTTATTTCCCATTAACGGTTGATTACTTATATACACCCAACTTCTTATAGCATTTCTGCTAAATCCATAAAATATCATTCCACCGTTTTTCTAACAGTCATTACTTTAACAAAGTTTCCAAATAAACACTTTAAATTTTCCATTAATATTCCACTATCTCCTCTCCCTGGCTTCGGATTCTGCCAGTCCTTTCCGTCAGTTCCATATAATCCATCAACCTGGTGCCCTAATATCCGAGGCTCTTAAATCTCTTCCAAGTCTCTTCTGCAGGTCTTCTTCATATTCTTTGATGCTCAGGAGCAAATCTCGGGAAAACTCCAGCCTAGCAATACTTTTGTTCCTTCTGGACAGTTCAGCCAAATTTCCAAAATTAAAAGTACAGTCCATAAAGTGTTTCAGAACGTATTTCAGGATTCCTCCAATTCTAGCGACCCCCAAAACTTCAAACTCCTCCAAGCCCAGGTCCATGTCCCAAAAGTCAGTCAATCCCTGGATAGAGGGCTCTTTCCAACTTTCCTTCTTCGATCTAAGCCGGGATCCTAGCCTCGAAATTTGACTTTTGCTAGATTCAGTCATGAAAGACCTCAATTTATAATCCTCAATCTGCTTCTGAGAAATTAAGGATCCCGCTTGTACTACTTTTGGTTTCACATCATCAGCTTTCTCCTTTTTCTCCACCATTTTCACATCATCAGCTTTCTCCTTTTCCTCCACCATTTGTCCAACCAAGATATGTTCCTGTACCAAATCCTGAGTTGTTTCTGTATTAACACTCACTTTTTGATTCAAATTAACCACGTTCTGTTCCAAGTTGTCAATTTTAGAGATCGTGTCATCTGTCTTTTTATGAAGCTGTTCCAGTGTGTAGTTTATCTTATGTAATACAGATTTCTGTTCTCATCCTGAAGCAAAGTTCTTAACCTGATGCACTATTTCTGGGTTAGCGGAGTCTGTAACCTGAAGTGTATGTAACCTGAAGCGTATGTAACCCGAGGTACCACTGTATCTCAATAGCATATAACAAGTTCAGCAATTTAGCAATAGAAAGTTCTGCATTGCAAGATGTAAATTGGGACAAGTTAGCCAATGATTTCATGAGAAGGAAATGTTGAAAAAAATTGCATGAATATCTGTTACTATTATATAAAAATATTTGAATTTAATTCGTTTTGTGCCTTTTAAATAAAGTTCATTTTTGGATGAAGAGACATCGTACATCGTACGTAAATCATTAATTTTAAACGATAGCTCAGTCAGTAGAACACGAGAATCTTAATCTCAGGGTTTCAGAGTCGTGGGTTCAAGCCCCATATTGGCCAAAAAGATTCCTGCATTGCAGGGGGCTGGACTAGATTATTCTCACGGTTGCTCCAGTACTACAGTTCTATAATTCTACTGCTTAATCATATAATAGCCAAAAAATCAACCTAAAATCAGTGAATCTAAATAAAAGTTTAGATGCGTTTTTCTTAGTTGCTCCTCTGGCTCGCTCATCAACTGTTTTAAAATCAGCCCCACCCCCTGGAAATATCCTTACAATAACCACTTGATTGCTGTTTTTCAAAACCTTTAATCAACGCTACATTTCTGGTAAGTTTAACTTTCACCGGATGCCTTTATTTTCATCGCGTGTCAATTTGCATTCACTACACTGTCCAGCATAAACGATGAAAAGGATAAAGGGGTGTTTCAGTAGAGGCAGCTGGGACAAAATAAAGACAGAATCCGAGTCAGCAGTGTGGACCATAAGAAGGGCGTAATAGTCTGATGGTTTGCTCATCAACCCTCCTTCTCACAGAGCTTTTCTCCTAAAACACCAGAGATTTCTGCCAAGCTCTGACAGTCTTATGGCTCAGCATGATCAAATAAACATGTTTCTTGAAAATTATAATTGCAAGAAGATTATGCTTCGTACCGTAACAAAGAGTGCACAGCTGGAGTCCCTGTAAAATCAATGTGTAATCTCCTTTGCTTGGAATGTGAAGGACTTGAAACTGTCCGGAATCATCCATCTAGAAAGAAAAAATGAAAAAGAGGAGAAAAAACTTCAGGTAGAAATATAAAATAAAATAAAATAAAATAAAATAAAATAATAATATATTGTGAACTGCCCTGAGCCTGCGGGTATGTTGGCTATTTGCAGATTAGTTGTGCTGCAGAAGGCATGCTGGGGAGACCACACATTACAGGGAACGCAAAATAACTTTTGTGAGGTTTTAATAACAAAAACAAAAACTCCTTTTGCACTAAACATAGCAATAAGCATGACCCATCCATCCCCCAGGGTACTGAGAGAGCTAGGTGCTGCTCTTTATATACTATACCCAACAGCTTAATTACCACACCATAACAGCACTTTCTATACTGCTTCACAGCTGTAAAACTAGGTCACGTTATTTGCTCTAGCCCTTAAAGAAATACACATCTTGTGGAACAATAATGAACCTTCAAATTCAAAGAGGCCATTCAACTGTGGGTATAGGGTGGAATTATTATTATTATTATTATTATTATTATTATTATTATTTTATTTATTCCCCAGCCATCTGGCTGGGTTGCCTCAGTTGCTCAGGGCGGCTTCTAACACATATAAAAACATAATAAAACAACAAACATTAAAAACTTCCCGATGCAGGGCAGCCTTTAGGTGTCTTCTAAAAGTTGTGTAGTTCTTTATGCCTTAGGCATAGGAAGCTGACTTATATTGAGTCAGACCATTGGTGTATTGTCTTCATATTGTCTACACTGACTGGCAGGTGCTATCTGGAGATGCCAGGAATTGAATCTGGGTCTTTCTTTATGCTAAGTAGGTGCCCTAGCACTGAGCCAAGACCGCTACATGCATATAGACACGCAGAAACACACATGCTTAAAGAGGACATCAATAGCTATAGCTATTGATGATATAGCTATAGATATCCTAATTTCTGGTTCAGCGCCCATAGACCACACTGCCCAAAAGTGTGGGTTGTGTCATCCCCCTCTTGTCCTCCGGAGGACCCTGAAGTCAGAGAGGATTACCCTTGTGCAAATGAATTGAAACAAAGCGTGTTTTCTATCTTACTCGTAATCCTGTACTCAAAAAGCGTGTTCTCCTTCATGGAGAGCATGTGTTGCTGTGGGGGCTAGCAAGACACCCACTGTTGCTGGGCAAAAAGAGTTTGGCCACCATTATCATTGTGCTGCCTGTTGCTGGGGAGATTTAAATGTTGCTATTTCATGATTGACAGCCACAGCTCTTAAATACCCTGCACGCAGTGTTGAGCTTCTTCTTTTCGCTGCGGAACACCCGCCCTCCCTCCCTGTTTTCAGATTGTTCGCTTGGCCTTGCTATGCCTGTCATGGGGTTGTCTGCTTTTGGGGCAGGGGCCCGGTAGGAATTTTGTCCATTTGGCTGATTGGCTGGTGCCATTTGGTTTTTGCCTACTGCGTAGCAAATCGTCACAACTTGTAAGGTTGCGGTTAGGCATTGGTTTTGGAATGGTGGAGGGGTATGGATTGGCTGTTCCTACCCCTCCAAAGTGCTGCTGCTGCAGGAGTTTTCTGTTAAAGGAACCTGGGGGCTCACCATGTTTTTGTCTGAACCCCTGTCAAGGGGCTAGGGCCACGCAAGAGCCCCTGGGAGCATTTGGGGAGAGGTGAGGCATGGTTCCCAGTCCCGTCTCTCTCCCCAAAATGTTTTCCCGTTTCTGACTTCGCAAATGTCAGTCTGTCCCCGTGCGGGGTCAGATAGTCGCAACCAATGCCTAAGCAACCACTCACATCGCTTGTAATTTTAATAAAGTTGTGGCCAAAATTATGCCAAAAACCTTAAACTAAAATTATGTGTCAATTGTGTTTTATTGGGGGTGTATTGGGGACCTCAACACGCAACAAACACGAAAAGTCAGTTGATCATTATGGTGTCGGAAGCCTGAAGCCAATAGAAGGAATCATGCGCTCACCACAATATAGTGAGGTTCTACGAAAGAGAGTTGTTCCGGAGCTGGAAAAGAGGTATCCTGATGGTACTGGGATATTGCAGCAGGACCTAGTCCCCTGTCACACATCGAAAGTGCTGAAGAAATTCATGACAGAGCAGCAAATACAGGTACTAGATTCCCCGGGCGTAAATCCCATTGAAAATTTGTGGGCTATATGCAAAAGTCGCCTCCATGCTGTAGACCGTATGACTATGGAGAAGCTCATTCAGGTGCTGATTCAAGTGTGGTACAGTGATCCAAAAATCAACAGTGACTGTCCGAAACTAGTAGACTCCATGCCAAACCATGTTCAAATGTTGCTTAAAAATAGCGGAGGTCATATCCGTTACTAATGTACTTATATGTGAGTTTTGTACAATAAACTACACTGTTTGTTTCAATTAATTTGCACAAGGGTGTAAGTGGGACTTATTTTTAGCCCGCTATTTACTTATTGCTCTCACTTTGATTTGGCTTCAGTCATCAGATAATAGCCAAATCTCATTAGGCAAGAGTTACCAACATGGGGGGGGGGGGGCTTGCTGATCAGAAGGTGGGCAGTTCGAAACCCCGCACGGGGTGCGCTCCCGTTGCTCGGTCCCTGCTCCTGCCAACCTAGCAGTTTGAAAGTTTGCACGTAGATTGAAAGTGCAAGTAGATAAATAGGTACCACTCTGGCGGGAAGGTAAACGGCATTTCCGTGTGCAGCTCTGGTTTGCCAGAAGCGGCTCAGTCATGCTGGCCACATGACCTGGACGCTGTACGCCAGCTCCCTCGGCCAGTAAAGCGAGATGAGCGCTGCAACCCCAGAGTCGCCCGCGACTGGACCTAATGGTCAGGGGTCCCTTTACCTTTACCAACACGAAGTAGACTGAGAATTGCTCTCAGTTTGCCGACTTGTGGGTAGAAATAGATAAAAGAACACGATTGCCATCAGGACCACCAATAAACTAATCTGTGGCAGGGGTTGAAAAACCTCTCTCTTCCCCGCCCTCTCTCTCACACACACCATACTTCCAAAATGGAGTAATTTTCCTTGAGAATTCTGTCTGTGATGCTTGATCTGTGATGGCTCGTTCTGACATGCAAACAATCCCTTGGCAATAACCATGCATATGTGAAAAGGCCCTTGAATTTGGGTGGCTGGGTCTTCCTTTTGTTGTCAAGACCTATAGAATATAATGGTGTCACCTAGCAATGCAGCTTAGCAGAAATCGCGGTGGTAGGGCATGCACAGTAGACCTTATCAAGTCCCATATCCGCACACATTCGTTTGTTAAGAATAAGGTTCCCTGCATTGCCATCAAATGGATTATAAATACAACTCCTAACCTCAGATATGCATGCACATCAACAGTGTTATTCTGCAAAGGGTTTCGATAGGAGTGCAGCGTTCTTTATTTTGCAGCCGTATTATGAAGAATTCACATGTGGTACAAAACCTGGGGCTGCATCTATGAAATCGTGCTGTCAGCACAGGGACTTCTTCCTGTGAAACAGGATTTGCCCTTCCCCATTCTCCCCCCAAACTGTTCCAGAGGGTTTGGTCACACAGGGAAACATTGTGACCCAAAGAAGCCCCATTGCGGAAGTGGAAATCCTTGCACTAGCTGAACGACATCGTAGGATACAAACTTTAGAGATTACCCAATCCATTTTATACTCTCTTTTTTTAAAACTGAGACTCTTTTTAGGTGGGAAAAGCTCTAGCTACCATCAGCGTCAGATTTATGTATAAGCAAAACAAGATATAGGTTAGGGCCCCACTTTCTTGGGGGCCCCAAAAAAATTTAAAGGAAAAAAAACCTGGATGTACATTTCCAAAATATAAGATAAAAAACAAATAAAATAAAACCTACATACAGCAACAGTATTTTGTGTTGTGTAGGCTCTTATGATGTAAGTAATGAGCCCCACATGCTAGCCTGCTCTCTAAAATATCACTGCTTTGCTCATTTCTATATATAGGGTGCCTACATTCTGCATGGACTGGTTGCATGGCAAAATGTGCAAATGGCTTTAGATACCTATTAGGTCCATAAATTACCATATAGCATATATTCAACACAAATAACAGTGACAATTTGTTTTTGACAAATGACAGCTGGACATATAAAGGGCCCCATTACACCTTTAGTAGCTTAGTGCCTCATCAAGCCTAAATCCGGCCCTGGCTACCATAAATACAGAGCAAAACATAATCGCTAAATGCAAAAGAAGGAAAAGACCATAGTTCTCCTCACCGCAAAGGAACGATGGAGCTGGGTGATGTTATTAAATGCAATGACCACCAGAAGGATCTCTAAGGCACTGTATTCAAGGACAGCTGTGTTGAAGGAATTTGGATCGGCAGTCTG